TACTGCTTTGTGGTATAGCGGGCAGGTTAGTCAAAGCGGACAATATCATTGCAACGGGGTTTTGGGGGCGTTACACAACCCCACTTGATATTAATTTTATTTTTTATCAGAAAAATCCATTTTCTTAGCTTGATGATGTGGTTCTTCATGCATCGTATTGGAATTCCACTATTGTTGCTACAACTTACGCACTTCTTTAATTTCCACTAGAAATATTATAGAACGTTTCTTTGTCGTAACTTCAAAAATGAGATTTCAATTAAATTTGTTATAAAATTAAAATCGTGATTTTTGTCACTTTATATGAGATTTCAATTAAAACCATGACTTCTAATTAGACAAACTACTAACATTAGTCAAACATTTGTAGAGTACTTTGCAACACGATTCTCAAACATAGTTAGATAACTTAAATTAACATATGGTTCTAAGATTGTTATCAAATCCTCTTAAAAACTTTTAATTTTAATGAGTAGTTGTCACTCACATTTGTCTAAATTTTTTTAGAATAGTACTTCAAATTTAGTCTATAACATTTCTTTTGAAGATGATATTATCGCTACCGCGCAACGCGCGGTTAGAAAGCTAGTTTAACCTTAATGTAATATAAAACAACCGCTACGTGTACGACAAATAATTTAGTTACCAAATGGTTTGATTTCGGTTATTTATGTTACGATAATAAGGGAATTTTTCCTTTAAAAAATAAATAGTAACGCATATGTGTTAGCCATGTAATAATTTTAATATGATTCACAATTTATTCGATCAGTTATATATGATTGTTTAGTACTGACTTAATGATATAAAAAGTGACTTATTCAGTAAACTTGAAGGATAAAGCTTCATCTAAAAAACCAAATATTTTCTAAACACACCCTTTCTAATGGAAAACATGTTTTTTTCATCTACAAAAAAACCCTCTTAAACAAAAATATTCTAATATATATAAACAGATTAATAATATAAATAATTTTATTTATATAGAATTTGATGGAAAACCAAACAAATAGTGTTTGCTTTTGCTAAATTACATTCATGATTTAGGTGGTTTTTTGGCCCCACATTCCACTAAATTAATATGTGCTCTATGCGTATCCGATAAGCCTACTCAATGGTTTCTCCATACGTTTGTTGTCAATCTTTTTCTATTTTGTTTTTTTTCCCAACAAAAGTTATCATCGTCACAAATTATAATCATGTTCGGTCATGACATATATGCATCAACATGTCGTTTTGTTTAATCAACCGTATGTTTGAGACTGACTCACGAATGCATCGAGAAAAAAGGAGGCACGAACGTGTGCAAGTGGTGTAGTACGATGCATGCAATTCAATATATATGAATGTTTATAACCATTGGATGAGAATCAGGGGCGAACTTAGCTACTAAGGGTTGAGAATGTTTTTGTGACTGTTTACTCGATTATTATAAGAAAAAAAAAGTTTAGACGCTTGACAGGTGTACCCGCTTGACTTTGAGAGGTGTCTTGAGATGTTTTGAAACCAACTTTATAACGTAAATCAAATGGGTGAAATGATTTAGGTAGTTATTCAAGAGGTTACTAAAAATACTGACAACAAGGATACTGCTACAAAGATCGAACTCACAACTTGAAGTATAGTTACAAACATAACTACCACTACACGAGACTGACTTTTTATTAAATTTTCAAGACAACATATATTTATTTTAAAGGTTAAGGTCGATTTTATTTGTAAAAATGTATTTTATTTCTTAAATCGACACAATTCACTTTTCTGTATGTCAAACCGTGTTGGGCCCCTCGCTTTCAAACTGCAACCATGAGTCAAGCATGTTCAAACCCCTAAATCATCTCATCTCAAAATCGACCCCTTAATGAGAAAACCGACATGTGTTACCATATGAAACTTTCATTCGTCATGTTCAACAAAAAAAAAAAAGAGAAACTAAACCACAAGGGTGGTGTCTGATTGGTTTGAGTTTGGCTCCAAATGTCAAAAGTACCAGGAGGTCCCAGATTCAAATCCAATGAGGAATAAAAATCCTCTTGTGGCCACGAAGGTTCAAAAACGGTGACTCCGAGCTATCTGCAAAGTAGGTGGTCGTCCTAGGATTAGTCAGTCGCATACCAGGTTGGATATCTAAAAAAACTAGAAAATACGAAGATACAAAAAAAAAATTGCCATTCTTTATTGATTTTTGTCACGAGTCGACTAATTACAAGCATGATGTTTCGTACTGTAAAGGGTCTTGGCAGAAGAAGATACAGTGCGATTTCCATTGAAGCTTTGAAGCTGATCACCACTGCTACATTCATCTTCTTTAATGGTAGGTAGCTTTTTCTCCAAGCTCGCCCGCCGATCTACCCGAATCAGTCTCGGCGGTGCAGCCTCCACCGTTTGCCGACTACTGGAATGCCTAGACATTGCTTTCTTACTTTTGGCTATCAGTTTCTTTCTTGCATTATTACAAACACCTGAAATGCACAATTTATAAGGCGAAAACATGCCCACTTGGGTACTTCATATTATTCAACAAATTGTCAGAATTGATTCCGATATCGTGTTCTTGAAAATCTTTCCCCAATTTTATTTGGAAAGAATATATATATATATATATATATATCTGTTAAAATATTGGTCCAAGAATCTGGTACCTGACTTGTGCTCAAGGCTAAAAGTAATGGGTTTAAATTATTACTTAAAGGAATTAAAACTGAGTTGGGTTGTGGATTGAAATTAGCAGAAAATGGAACTTTGGGGTTTCAACCATAAAAGAAGAACCAAAGTATTCCCCATGTTTCTTCTTCAAGAATTCCTTGATTCCCACTGAAAATATCATATAGTTTCGGGATAATATCGTCTTTATGAGTCTGGATAAAATGGAATAATATTCAGTCACCTGGCTGCTTAATGGAAGCATATGTAACAGTGGCTGAGCGTTGCGTCATGATCTAACTTTGAAATCGGAAAATCAAATTGCAGAAGTTCGTGCTCCAAATGCATTGGCGGTCCTTTGTCTTTTCTTTTGCTTTTTTGGCAACTAATAAATTGTATCTCGTAAAAACTAACTTATAAATATGTAAAATGATTAAAAATATATTTAAAAAAATAGTTCATTATTAATATTTTATAATGTAATTTAAATAAATTTCTAATAATATAATATATTAGTCGA